CTTGTCATCCCTTCCTCTGCAATCCGCCTGCTTCCTCTCTTGTCATCCCTTCCTCTGCAATCCGCCTGCTTCCTCTCTTGTCATCCCTTCCTCTGCAATCTCTCCACTCTAGGGAATAGGGGAGGGAAGCAGAGTAGTTGAATGGGGAATTCTGGGAGTTGAAGTCCACAAGTCTTAAAGTTGCCAAGTTTGGGGGACCCTGCATGCTTTTCTGAATTGGACAAGGCACCTGGAAACCCCCTGCAGGGGGAGGGACAGACAGGTGGCCCTGTGGTGTCCCACCGGGCCATCTATAGGCCAAGGCATGTAACTGCAGCCCTTCGGGGCAACTGCGCCCCCTGGAGGGCAGGCGCAGAGACAGATGAAAATGAAAAAAAAACATATGTTTTCCATCACTCAAAGTTCCAAAATACTGCCTGGGTGATGGATAATCTTGATTGACAACTTTGGGGGGGGGGCTTTTGCTGGAAGGGGGGGGGGTTCTTACCTGGAACTTCCCGGTTGGGGGCGTTTCATGTTCATTTCCTCCACCCTGGCCTCATAGATCTGGTTGATCACCTGGTTCCCCAAAAAAGTCATCAGCTGTGGGCGAGAAGGGAGGGGCTCAGGGCGGGATGGGGGGCTTCATTTCAGCATCCACTACGGGGGTCCTACCTCCATGTAATAGGGGAAGAGTAGTGGAGGAGTAAAGGGGAGGCTAAGGGGTCTGGCAGGAATTTGACAGCTGTGTCCCCCCCAAATACTGGAAACTTCTGCTCTCTTCCTCCCCTCCCTTTGTCCCTCCCTCCCTTTTATTTTCCTTCCCTCCCTCCATCCATCCTTCCTCTACTACCCTTCTTCCTTGATCCCTTTCCTCCCTCCCCCCTTTCTTCCTCTTTTTCCTCCCTTCCTCTCTCTCTCTCCTTCCTTCAATTCCCTCCCTCTCCATCCTTCCTCCTTCCTCCTCTTGTTCGTCATTCTCTCCTCCCTTTTTTCCTCCCTCCCTTCTTCTGTCTCTCCTCCCTCCCTTCCCTCGTTCTCTCCTCCCTCCCTTCCTTTATTTCCTTGGTCCCTCCTCCCTCTCTGCCTCCCTTCCTCTCTTTCTCCCTCCCTGCCTCCCTCTTTCTTCCTCTCTCCTTCCTTCCTTCCTTCCTTCCCCTTGTTCCTCATTTTCCCCTCCCTCTTTCTTCCTCTCCTCCTTCTTCTCCCTCCTACCCATTCCTGTTCTCTCCTATTCCTTCCTCTCCCTCCACTTCCTTCTTTCCTCCTTCCTCCCTTCCTCTCTTCTTCCTTCCTTCTTCTCCTTCCTTTCCTCCTCCCCTTGTTTCTCGTTCTCTCCTCCCTTTCTTCCTCTCCTTTCTTTCCTCTCCCTCCCTCTCCTTCCTTCCTTCCTTCCCCCTCCCGTTGTTCATTCTCTCCTCCTTCCCTTTCTTTCCATCTCTCCTCCCTCCCCCTTTCCATCTTTCTCTCCCTCCCTTCTTCCTTTCCTCCTCCCCTTGTTCCTTGTTCTCTCCTCCTACTCTTTCTTCTCCTCCTCCTTCTTCTCCCTCCTACCCATTCCTGTTCTCTCGTATTCCTTCCTCTCCCTCCCTCTGCTTCCTTCTTTCCTCCTTCCTCCCTTCCTCCCTCCTTCCTCCCTTCCTCTCTCCTTCGTTCGTTCGTTCGTTCGTTCGTTCCTTCGTTCGTTCCTTCCTTCCTTCTTCAAAACACTACACGCATTGGATCTGTGCCCCAAAGTTTCAGCATGTGCCCCCCCCACCCCGATCCAGATCCCTCTGCCGCCCTGGATTCGAACCTCGCTCCCTTTTAACTCGAAGGCTCGCTGGCCCCTCTTGGGCCCCTCCCCACCCAGCAACCCCCCCAAATTCCCCCCCCCCTTCCCACCTTCACCAGCTCCGGCTCCCAGGCGTCCAGCGTCAGGGACCTCACCTTGGAGAAATGCACCCCCAGACTCCTAAGGCCGAGAAAGGAAATCAGGTGAAAATCAGCCGTAGTTCAACAGGTGAAGAAAATCTGCCTCTTGCGGGGGGGGGGGGGGGGGGCCCAGGAACACCCACGGCCCCCCCCCCCAACAGGGCCCCCCCGTTGCCACCACCGGGCCCCCCCCCCCCCCCCCCCACCCACACACCAAGGCCCCCCCCCCCCCGGGCCTCTTTTCCTTCCAACACGGCAAAAGAGACCCCCTCATAGAGGCCGTCCTCGACTTTACGACCGAACATTTCCGTTGCTAAGCAAGATGTTTTGCGAAGCCCCCTTCCCCCCCTTTTGACCGCCTTTCCCGCCGTGGAAAATTTTCACCGTCGTTTTTAAGCGATTCCGGCTTCCCCTGTTGGCTCGTCGGTCGTAAAAGGGGATCGTGTTGACGCCACGACCGTCATAAGTATGAGTCAGTGGCCAGGCGTGTGGTTTTTTTTTATCCCATGACTGCGGGGGGGCAGGGTCGCGACGACGGCTGTTAAGGGTGAAAAACAGTCCCGAGCCACTTCTTGTCAGCTGGGTTGCAACTTGGAACGGTCACTAAATGAACGGTCATGAAGTGGAGGACGGCCTGGAAGCCCCTTCCCTGATCCTAGGACAGTTTCTGCCTTCTCCTTCGGGCAGCCTTGCGTGTTCTTTCTGGCAACCCCAATTTTTATTCTGGCTCTTTGGCTTATCTCAAATTTGAGTTGGAAAAGGCACTAGAGGTCATCTAGCCCAGCCCCTTGGCTCAAAGGAGTCCCAGGGAGGGGAGATGGAAGTGACCCTGAAGGTCATCTAGCCCAACCCCCTTGCTGAAGGAGGAGACCCTACATCATTCCAGACAAACGGTTGCCTGATCTCTTCTTTAAAATCTCCATCAAAGGGGTTCCCGTGGAAGGGGGGTGGTGGTGGAAGGGACCCTAGAGGTCATCTAGCCAAACCCCCTGGAATCCCATGGAGGGAAAGGAATCCCATGGAGGTCAGAATGGAAGGGACCCTGGAGGTCATCTAGCCAAACCCCCTGGCTCAAAGGAATCCCAGGGAGGGTGGGGATGGAAGGGACCCTGGAGGTCATCTAGCCAAACCCCCTGGCTCAAAGGAATCCCATGGAGGTCAGAATGGAAGGGACCCTGGAGGTCATCTAGCCAAACCCCCTGGCTCAAAGGAATCCCAGGGAGGGTGGGGATGGAAGGGACTCTGGAGGTCATCTAGCCCAACCCCCTGCTCAATCCAGTGACCCCCCCCCCCATTACCATTCCAAACACACAGTTGTCCAATCCCTTCTTAAAAACCTCCATCAAAGGGACGGGGACAGGTGGGGTGGGGATGGGATGGACCCCCCTGAGGTCATCCAGCCCAACCCCCTTTCGGGTTCCTTGCCCTGAGGCACCTGTGTATGCCGGAGCACTCGATGCAGAGGGTGATGCCCAGGTTGATGCTGGCCCACTCCGGGGCCGCCTCCCGGCAGTCGCAACACTGGGCGTTGCCCTCCAGCCGCTGCACCTGGTCCACCACGTGCTTGTCCACCCCGCCCCGGAGTTTGCGGCTGGAGGGGGACTGCAAGGTGGCCGCCGTGAGGGAGGCGCTCCGCTCCAGATGCTGCCCCTCCCACAAAAAAAAGAGGGAAAAAGAAGAAGAAGAAGCGTTATCAGCAAAAGCAGGCATGGAAGGGACCTTGGAGGTCATCTAGTCCAACCCCCTTTCCCAAGCAGGACGTCCTAGACTATTTCAGATAAATAGGTAATGCAATCACAGAATAGAGCTGGAAGGGACCTCGGAGATCATTTAGTCCAACCCCTGGCTCAGGCAGGAGACATTATGTGTATGTAACGTAATGTGATCAGAATAGAGGTGGAAGGGACCTTGGAGGGTCATCTAGTCCAACCCTCAGAGATCCAACCCTCAGAGAAATACCTAAAGTTCTAAAGGTATGTATATAATATGCTGTGTGTATATGTAATATATGTAAAAATATGTATGTAATGCAATCAGAATTGAGCCGGAAGTGTCCTTGGAGGTCATCTAGTCTAACCCCCTTCCCAAGCAGGACACCCTATGCCATTCCAGACAAACGTCTGTCCGGTCTCTTCTTAAAAACCTCCAGTGATGGAGCACCCACAAATTCTGGTGGCAAGCAGTTCCACTGGCTAGTTTTTCTCACCGTTAGGAAGCTGTAAGTCCTTGACTTACGACCACAATGGACCACAATTCCCTCAACTGTCATAATGCGAGACCCTTGCTGAGTGCCCCAATTGTCATCGCATGACCACACCCAAGGGGTGTGGTGTGACGTTCATAACGTCAGCACAAGCCACACCCCATTTTTCAGGGCCATCGTAACTTCAAATCAACATTAAACAAACGGTCGTAAAACAAGGACCTCAGGACCCACAAGGGCCTTGCAAGGACCTGGTCGCAACTTTGGCCTAGATCTTACCTGCCCAGGGGATTCTGGGTGATCCTCATTGTACGCCGAGGCGATGCTACTCTGGACGGCACACATCCAGGCCTGTAGGTGGCGCTCCGAATCGGCCTGCAGGAGGCATGTCCTAAAGCGAGACAGGAAGGAGAAGATATTTGACCCTGGACCCAGCAGAGATACAGGCAGTCCTCGATTTACGACTGCAACAGAGCCACTGTTAAGTGAAACAGTTGTGAATTTTGCCCCGTTTCACGACTGTTCTTGCCACAGTCATTAAATGAATCACCAGTTATTTTAATTGGTGCAGTTGTTAGTCCGTTTTTCACCCTTATGACTGTCGCAACATCTCCTTGGTCACAAGATTCCCATGTGGATGCTTTCCATACTGACTCACATTTATGACGGCCGCGACAGCCATGTTTCACACTTATGACCAGGGTAGCATCCCCGTGGTTGTGTCATCAAAATTCAGACGCTTGGCGATGGACTTGTATTTATGACAGTCAAGCACAAAAGGGGGAAACCGGATTCACTTAACGACCCGGGAGGGTTCTCGTTTAAGAACGGTAGTGATTCGTTTCACAATTGCGTCAAATATAAGGTTATAAAAATTGGCGCGTAATTCTCTTCAACGTCTCTGCTTAGTGACAAAAATTTGGAGGGCCGTTTGATCATATGATGAGGACGACCTGCTGATGTCAAAATTTATAAATGTTATTGTTGTGATAGCTTTTTCAGCTTTCAAATGGGGGGGGTTGTTAAATACTTTGGATTCTTTTTTGTCCCTTTTAATTCACTTTTTAAAAAAATGTTCTTTAGTTTTCTTTTTATTTTAAAGTGTTTTTTTTTTTATAAACACTTCAGTGTCTACAAACATGAACTGTGTATTTTCTGGGTACAGTAAATTTTGAGAAATCATAATAATAACAATAATATGCATAATATTGACGGTGGTGTCATCATAACACCAGTATTTGCTTGTCTATTTTAGTAAGCCTTCTACCCATCGCCTCCTATTTTTTACTTTTGAAACATACAGAATAATAATCTTTAACTTCTAACATTTACTTCTACAGTAACTATAACTTCCACCATAGGACTGTGTCTGTCTGTCTGTCTGTCTATCTATCTATCTATCTATCTATCTATCTATCTATCTATCTATCTATGCATCTATATCTATCTATCTATCTATCTATC